ACATGATAGAGATGAGGTTAGCTTTTAGACCAGTATTATGTATTAATTGTTAATAAAAAAACTAAGCTAATATTTGCAAATGTAAGATAAGCTCAATTCAAATCAGAAAAGGTTCATTTTTTATAAGCCAACGTTGTATCGAAAAAGAAGTGTTTTCCAAAGATATCGGAGGTTTAAAACAAGACAACTTGGTAACTGGTAATAATTTTTTTCTACAAAATTTATGAGGGTTCAATTTAAACAAACTGTGTAATCAGAGGGTGCATTTTTTGTTCTTTCTAACTGAATTTTTTTTTTTTTTTTTTAATACTTTCTTGGGCTGGGGGAGTGGGGGTGTCTACAAAAGGGTAGGTACCTGTACTCCCTGCGGAGAGAGAGAGCAAAGCAAAGCTTATTCGTGCAATCAAAGCATGTCTACGTACTTACACTTACTATGAAAACATTACGCAGATATTGACTCTCGAGTTAGATATACGTATGGGGAAGATGATGGATATATATATATATACAACGTGGCATATATTTTGTTCGCTATAGATCATAGAATTGTCGTTATTATACCCACGTGCTTTTGTCGACGCAGCACACGCATATAACATATGTGTGTATACGTTGTACATGAGTATATACATTAGGTATAGGTACACACAAAACACACGCGTTGTCAACGCGTTTATTTGACATCCACCCGCTATAATTCTTCAAAGAAATTTCTTCCGCGAGAAAGCTCTCTTTCTATATATATTAAATTATGTAATAGATACGAAAGCGTGTACCACAAAGTTATCATTTATCAGCTGTGCTGTAAGTATAATATATGTGGGTAACAACAAAATAAAATTAAGAACAGCAAGAGACCAACATCGGTAGGATATACTTAATAATAAGTTGCGAGCAAAGGTGCACATCAGGAATGTATGCGTTTGTACTTGTATGTATGTACGTATGCCACATTGATCCTCCAGCTCCAGGAGAAGGCGCGCAGGCGCCTGAGCGCCGCTCGATCGAAAGCTCAGAGTCAAAGATCGGGAGAGCTTTTCTCACGCATGTACATACATACACACATACGTTGTACAACAACATTAAATTCCAGCTTATTTTGGTCGTGCGCGGTAATCTGTCATCCTCACTTTATATTTCGATTGCGATTGACGAGTATCAGAGAGACAGACGCGCCACCGTTGCCCCTTCATCGGGGTAGTCGGGTGTTTTACGAGGGTGGAAAAAAAAGGCACCACTGTTGCGTGTGTCAGTGAAAAGAGAGAGGGAGGATAACAATAACAATAGCCACATATATGATTGGGAGTTACGAGGAGGAGGCATCCCCGTCCAAGTGTATAGGGGCGCCGAGGACAACCTGTCCAACAGCTACGGACCGTTGCTCAGTGCTACCAGGAGACTGCTCGTGAGGTCCTCGTTTGAACCGTGTGATTTTGTATTTAACTAACTAGAGGCATCACCTGAATCCAAGTGGACAGCGGAAAACTGACGCGTGCGTGGGCGTGTTTGACAGCTACGCGAGCCTTTGGTTTTTTTTTTTTTTTTTTTTCGTGTCAACACTGCACAGCTCAATTTTTGCCGTAGGAAAATTTGATTATGGCTTTGTTATTGAGCAAACGGATTTGAGATTGGTTTTGTGTGACAGTGTACTCTTGTGTTTATTTGTACCATCAGATCAGGATTGATATTATATGTTTCTACGTTTTCTCATGTTCCATGATTTTAGAAATCAAATGCAATCGACTACAATGCTGCTCCACCAGGACAACTGGAACAAAAGTTGCGGATCCAACGAGGACCGTTACGAGTACGACGAGAAAAAGAGCCACCGGTGTATTTGGATGCTGACTGCTGTCCTGGCTTTCATTGGCTTTTGCAATTTGTTACTTAACATGACGATACTAATAGTACTACGAGTCAGCCAGGGAATGGAGTCACTTGAAGTTATTCCCAACAAGAACCTCGTAAAATTTTATGGCAACACAGATTTGGATAAAGTAAGGGTATCATTGACGATTTTTAATCGAGTATAGATACTCCAAGCGCATCAAAGTAATAATATTTTTTCCTCAGATTTGCTTGCAAAAGGGTACTTTCGAGGGCTTTGGAGATGAGCCCATTAAACTAATAGGAGATGCCGGTGGTGTTCAAATGCAGACGAATCAACGATACAGCAACGCCTGGTCGGGTATGCAGGTTTTAAAAGGCGGCGTATCGGTTTCCAACGTCAAGTCGTTTCAAGTGAAAGATCCTCGTAGCGGGTCTGCCGTGTTTTCGACTGATTTTCCGAATTTTGGGCTTCCTCAAGGCGTTGAGCATATTCAAGTTGACGTTACGCAAACGCACAGAATTGTGGCACCGAAGAACAGCGACTTTTTAATCGAATCGGAAAACAATATTCATCTTCACGGAGCTGAAGGCACAAGTTTCGACTCCAAGGACATTATTTGGACAGCTACCAATGACATTTTTTTACACAGTCGAAATGGTGATATAGTCATCGATGCCAAGGACAGTATTAATCTTCCAAAAATACCGATAGCCCCAGCTGTTCTGCCTAGTCAATCCCATGAAATGCAGGAACAGTACAAAGTTTGCGTTTGTATGCCTAATGGTAAGCTTTTCTTGGTGTCGACACACGGTGCGAATTCCAAAGTTAATTGCGCCAGAATATCGCGATCCATGGAAAACGATCCGTGCATGTCATAAAAAAAAAAAAAAAAAACCATAAAATTGGTTGTCTCTTGGTTTGAAAAATAAAAAAAATGAAGCAATCGTTGTTTATTTCAAGAGCACTTTAGCAACTTGGAGCTCGGCAAAATGTAACACGGCTTTTTTTTTTTTTTTAAATAAAATTTTGCTACTTATCATAAGTCTAACTTTATTTTAAAAAATTTTAAATTACAGTCTTATCAAGAACAAGCTTGACAAGAGATCATACACACGTATTTAATCATTAATTTTAGATGTACGAAATACGACTTTACATATTCTCATTCGATCAGACTACGTAGAACATATAAATTTTCATTTATATAGGAAAAATTGTTGATATAGCGTTATGTATGAAATTAATTTAAATTATATAGAAAATGTAACATTTCTTTGTTGAAGAGTTATTTACGCGCTTTCGGCAATCATTTCCTCGTTGCTCTCATCCATTTCCTCCTGTTGTTCTTGTTCTGATGGTGGCTCGTATGCTTTTTCCAAAGGACTCGCAACAACACCTTGCCAGACACTCATTTCAACAGCTAATGTGTTTCCTCCTTCAAGGATAGGTATGGGTTTGTTTGAGGCAGATGTTCCAGATCCTCCGTGAGCAAGCACTCGTAGTAAAATCTGGGCTGTCAAGCACACTAAATCCTGTTGTTCCAAGCTCATGGCAGTGTGAACGCGAATACTACCACCTTCACAGGGATCAGAAATACCTGCAGAAATTATTCGTTAAATAATACCGGTATGAATGTGAAAAATATAAACATTTATCAGAAAACTACATACCTGCTGATCCTGGCAAAAAGAGTCCCGATGCCAGAAGCTGAAGTACTCTTCTGTAGGCTTGATTGATCGGCAATGCCTGTCGGCTAGGATTATTCATAATGGCATTATGAGCCAAAACATTCAACATCCAAGGTGAAAGGGGCTCCAAGCCTTCGAATCTAGTTCTTAAATCTCTCAACAAACGTATGAGTACTTTAATACTGGAATGATGAGCATTTTCTTCAAACCAACGAGAATGTCTGATAGCTGCAAGATGGCCTTGACAAATCTTAATATCCAAATGTTGGTCGGGCTCTAATTTCCTGAGATTCTGATGAAGAGTCGTTATCAAAACACGAACTGTGGCCTCGTTGTTAGCTATATCAAATCCACGTTCTGTTTGCGTTAATCTAAGGGGTTCTTTTGGCGCTTGAGACTTTAAGTCCATCTGAACCTTGTTACCAAGTGCCTCGACTGCCGTTTTTGTTGGCAAAGTCTTTAAAATTACGACAATATCGGCAACGTTGTGACCCTTGATCATTGTTCCCATTTTGAAACTGCCAACCTGGCGTACTTCCTCTAATTGCTACACAAACAATTCAAATTTGAGAAAAAAAAAACCAACATTAGTTGAAACAGCGGTTTTCTAAACCATAGGTATCAAAATATTAACTTACGCAAGCCTCAAACGAGCCAGGAGCCACAATCAAGTTGTCTAAAACGCTCTGAAGCTTAGTAACTAGATTGAGAATCGAAGTTTGCTCTTTTGGAGTGGGACACATATCAGAGTTCTTTTTGAGCAGTGCAGCCGTGAATTCAGTCTCATCAGGTGCAGGCTTTACTCTGGGAAAAGCTGACTCGCACAAGGTCAGATCAAACGGATGACGAGGCATAAACTGTCTCTTTGGTGGAAAACCAATTCCACGACCCATTCCTCTACCTCGAATTATTCCTCCCCTGCCTCGAACCATCTTAACTGCAAAAGACAACGTACACAAATTTTAATTTGACATTGAAAGAAAAATTCATGAAACTGACATAAAATATATGGATTAAACAATAATTTGAAATAATTGAAAAAAAAAAAAAAAAAAAAAAAAAAAATCAAGCAAATTTAGAAAATCTTGAAATTTCTTCTGACAAGCATCAGAGCCGTGCGGCGGCGTCCGTCAACTATATGTTATATATTTATAGACGGGAACACGCACTCTAACCAACAAAACTCGCCAGTAAATAAGTAGAACTATTGGAGCCCCGTCACACGTAAATATATTTACCCATTGTCAATATTGCACGTGCCTTGAATCAGCGACCCTGCTTCGATCCAACGAGTGTGTACTCAGGCAGCCTGTAAGAAAAATTAGCAATTAAGTAAATTTTCAATATTAAGTAGTTGATAAAAGCGTGAAGCAAGAGCTCGTAGAAATCGATAAACCTCCGATTACGTCGAAAAGTATACACGCGGCCCGTGATAACGACTGTCGCCTCAAGATAATGAGATATCACTCACCGATAAATATAAGGTGTGAAAAAGCAACAAAACTTGAGAAAATCAAAATCTTTGAGTCTGGAACAATTACTCGATGAGGTTGGAAGTCCGCGGGGTGCAGGTGTTGGAGACTTGGACTTTGAATTTGGTTCGGAGTTAGGACTGTTCGGACTGTTCGGAGTATCGAGTCCAAAGCGAGATCGCTGAACACACACGGGGAGGGTTGGCGCTCGAAAGGGAGGGGACGGGTATAAAGCGCCGGCACGCCGCCGCAGTTCGTATACCCGAGAACCCGAGTCGGGATGGCCAGGTAGAAAAGCGGTTGTAGAAAAGGTAAGTTTTCTACGCGTAGAATTCATTTCAAGTAAATGCACATAAATTTAATGCAGTCTACCAAGTGAGTGTTAGATACGTATTAGTTGTTGAATTAAATTTTAAAGGTATATTGCAACTAAAGAAAAATGCCGCTAGTTTACTATCGATTTCGATTTTCCTAAAAATTAATAAAATCATTAAAGTATACAAATTTTTTTTTTAGTCATGTCCATATCTGTATTTAATTACCTTTCTCGATTCATTTTTCTCTGTATCTCAACAATGTACAGTTGATAAACTTATAAGCATGTACACAGTTCAAAAGAGAAGCTTTATATTTATTTATACATCGTTTTGAGGTTTATAAAATATTTCAATTCAGTTTTCTACAGTTTTCTACGTTGTTGACAGTTTTTACAAATCTACAGTAGAATACTGAAAATTTTATAGAAAACCCATCCCTCTACCCGACAAAACCCAACAAATCTATTGTAAAAGTTTACCACCTTTAAGAAGTTTAAAGAACACAAACTTACAGCATAGGCTATTATATACCTATATATTTTTTTTTTTTATATTCATCATCGCCCCTTGAGGGCTCAGACACGGCTATTTTGACACTATAAAGTGTATTTAGCCATACGTTGGGTTTAATAACAGTAGGGGGAAACGGTAGATAGATCGGTAGGTTTATTGAAGTACAAATCTCATCCAGAAAAAAACCTCATTCATTGATGAAATTTTTGTCCAGAGTGGGATTTGAACCCCGGCCATCAAGATCTGTAGGCAGACACGCTACCGACAGAGCCATCATGTGGCCGGCATATATACCTATATATAATAGGAGTGCCCGGGGTCGCTCGGAGCAAGAAAACGTCGGGTTCGGTTATGGAAAAATCCGGAGCGCTCGAAGCGCCCCGGGTCGCATAAACGAACAAATCTATATCGACCTTTCAGTGAGAGATTCGTTAACTCTTTTTTTTTTCGTGTTGCGAGCACCAAGTATAAGTATTTTCAAATCATGCAATTATAGATCCACGTCGTTCTACAATGGCATTACGTTCATCTTCTATTTACTTATAACATTTCAAGTTCGGTTGCAGTTTTTTAGTAACTTTTCTTAAACGCCTGCACGTGTTTATTTCGCTGCGTTATTTGGTTCCCGATTTCGTCATATTTATTGATAATACTAAACTAAATTTAATAATCTGATGTTTCGATTAATTAAAAGATGCATGATTAAGTAACAGTGCTGATGTAAACAACACTCATGTGAAATGAAGAATCATCATCATGTACCGACTGTTTTCTTGGGTAAGAATATTAAATGCATTTAATCAAAATCAATTTTTTTTTTTTTTACTTATAATTACATGACAAATTGTCATAACATTGCCTACATATCATGTACACAATTTCCAAGGGAGGTTTCCGTTATTTAATTCTTTTATTTTATTGGATGACTCCAGAAATCGACACCTCAGAATGGATGTGTGCGAGATATGCGGACAATTTTTTATTTCCCTAATGCGCACCTTTAAAACGACTTGCTTTGCAATTTTAAAAATAAATCCAGTAAAGACACTTACATGTGTATTTTTCAGGGTGCAAATTCTCATGGACAGCTGGGGCACGGTGACGTCAATGAACAAGTCGTCACACCCAAGGAAGTCGATCTGAGTTTCGCCAACATCGAAATCAGTAAAATAAAAAAAATCGTCGGCGGTGCGGGTCACAGTATTATTTTGGACGAGTACGGTGGAATCTTTAGCTGTGGCTGGAACGGCAGGGGTCAGTCAGGTTGCACCGAACAGAAGAGTTTGCGCTTCAAAAGACTGGAGAGCTTCGGGGGCCAAAAGATCGTCGATGTCGCGTGCGGCTGGGACTCCTCAATGGCACTCACGGATCAAGGCGAGCTTTTCGCCTGGGGCTCCAATTTTCACGGACAGCTAGGCTTGCCTCGGGTCAAGAGCACGAGCACACCGACGAGGGTAGAGTTGGAAGTGCCGATCGAAAAAATGTCCATTGGGCTGAGACATTCCGCCATAGTTACGCGAGATTCCAAAGTTTTGGTCAGCGGAGCTGCGACGAAAGGTCAGCTCGGAGTTGATCTCGACGGCGCTCGTACATGTGATCGGTTTATCGAAGGTAATTTTTAAAAAATGTTCAACACCTTCGAACAAATCTACACAAAATTATGGAATGGAAAAAAAAAAACCTTTTATTCTTCGTATAGTGCCCGAATTACATGACATTAGCGGCGTATCTTGTGGTCAACATCATACGATTGTTACGACGAGGAATGGCGAAATATTCTCTTGGGGAGACAATAAACACGGCCAACTGGGAGTTGATCCACAAATATGTAAAACAGCTTCAAGTCCAATGAAAATTTTAAATGACACACCAGCTGATGTTACAAGGAAAATTTACTGCGGTTGGACTCATTCTGCCATTTTAACTTGTAATAATTCATTTGAAATTATTAACAATTATAGATTTTAAACTGCGAAAGTAATGAAAATATTTTATTTTATTTTTTTGAAGCTGGTGCTCAACTCTTGTTTTGGGGAAGAAATACGTATGGTCAGTTGGGCCGCACGAAAACAACCCCAAAAGAAGAACTGTGGAAAGCTAAATCGCCAACAACGTTGATTCAGGCTCAACAGTTATCCCTGGGATCAGAGCACAACATTCTTCTTACTGGTTAGATTTCGCCAGCTATTGCGTTTCATGAGACTTGACTTGAAATAAATCGATCAAATTTTCCATGCATATTTTTAGGTGATGGAACAGTTATGTCTTGGGGATGGAACGAGCATGGAAATTGCGGAAACGGGTATACGGAAGATACTTTTGAGCCCACGAAAGTATTACTGCCCGATTGCACGGGAGTTCTTGTAGGCGCTGGTGCGGGACACTCGTTTGTGATCGTTAAAATGAAAACCAACAAGTGATTGAACAACAATTGTGAATGTACTTTCAAGTACGTTGTACAAAATAAATGTTTATTTGTGATAATATTAACACAATGACTTGTATACATTAATTTTTATCAATTTACCGTATCCGTAAGTGTTTTCTATTTGTGATTTCTTCTAATGGTGTTCGGTATATGCGTGTAAATCCATACATTATTTCAATAAAAAATAGGCGTAAAATGGACGACGACAGCAGCGAAAAAAGTAGTACAATACACTGCACTTGAACAATATATATTTTAGGAATGTAATGAATTTGAGGGTGGCATGTACGCATGTGTATATATATATATATGTGTGTGTGTGTGTGTGTAATATAAACACCACCTGGCTGCTGTCGACTGTTTTCCACGATACTGAACGCGCAGTCAGCTGCCGCAGTCCCTTCGATATCTAGTTTCCCATTCTCCTATTAAACAAAAATATGTTTCGTTCGAGGTCGCAGGGCAGTATTGGGTAAATGTACAAATATTTTTTTTTAATAATGCATGGCTTTGTTTTTCTACGATACTTTAACACTATTTTAAGCAAAGCTGTGTGATAAAAAATTCTACTTTTAAATCGGTATACTAAAATTTAGCGACAGCGAGCGAGAGGCTAAGTTTGTGCTGGAGAGAATAGACAACCTGGAGAAGCACTTTGCCGAATTCTGCACGGTGTTTGCAGCTTACGCTAGAAAGGCAGCCAGGTATTATCTCTTTGTGTTATTGGTGGAAAAAAAAAAAAATTATATTGATTTTTCGGCTAAATAGCATGCAATCATATCACTTTACGGGACTACGCGTGACCGTAAATCGATATTACTTTTTTTTTTTTTTTTTTTTTTCTTCAAATCTAAATAGTTGTTTTTTTCGATGTGCGTGCACGTATACGAATATTTCCGCTGTTATTCCCGTTAGGCTAAGGGACAAGAACGATGAAGTTGCCAAGACGATACAAACATACGCCAACGCGGAGGACGTAAACCGATCGATGAGCATGTGCCTCGTAAATTTTGCGAGCACGCTTTCCGTTGTTGGTGACTACAGGTGAGAGCTACTCTAGCTTACCACATGCATGTATATTGTAGAGCGAAAATAAGCATATGCTATGCGTGTTTTTGTAAACAAAATTATGTGTTTCTATAAACAGAGACGCCAAAGTTCAAAGGCTCAACGCAAATGTCATTGCACCATTGTCGCAGTATCAAAATACGTGTAAGCGGGCAAGAGAAAATGTCAAAACTACCTTCGCGGCTCGGGACGAGGAGCTCAAGCGGAAAAAGTTGTTGGAAAAAGTTCGAGAAGAGAATCCTAAGAATCAGCAAAGAATTGTATTTTTTTTCTCTTTTCGCTGTGAAACTCTGATGCCTATAAATACATATTATACTTTTTTTATTTGATTTTGCAGTCTCATGCCAAGTCAAACTTGATGAAAGCAACGGTAGAGGTTTCGCGGGTAGTCAAGGAGCTGGAGGAGCAAATTGATTCGTTTGAAAAGCAAAAACTGCACGATCTCAAGACGATTATTTTGAGCTTTGTGACTGTCGAGCTTAGCTTTCATGCCAAAGCAGTCGAGCTTTTCACTAAGGCGTATCAGGACATTGCAGAAATCGACGAGGCACAAGATTTAGAAGTAAGCGCTCGATATTGCAAAAAAAATACTATTCTAGTCGTGCTATTAATAAAACAAAAAGTTCTTTTCGGAAACAACATACTTATTTGAATTTTTTGTACCCTTGATCTGCAGGACTATCAAATCGCAAGAGCAGAAATCAATAGGGTAACATGCGATTACTTTTCCTTTTTAATACTTTTTGATTATAGAATGCATATTTGTGTCTTGACTTTTGTGTCGACATAATTGTAAAAAAATTGTTTTCCGGTTTTTTTTTTTTTTTTTTTTTTTTTTTTTTTTTTTTTTTTTTTTTTTTTTTTTTTTTTTTTTTTTTTTTTTTTGTCATTCAAGCTAACATTTTTTTCTAGGACTTTCGGGAATTGTTAAGGTCAACAGAATCTTGGTCAAAGTTGAATAAACCTAGTTTTCGACAATCGTATTCTTTACTGAACCTTCACAATCGTTTTTCACCTTTGCCATCCAACATGAGAAAACAGAAAACTCACAGGACAACGGAATCACTGGTAACACTATTTTTACTTTACATAATCGAGATTATTTATTTTTGATCTGTGAAACTTTTCAAATGCTTAGGACTCATCAAAGACAGGACACACTAATTCGTCGGAATCTGTGCAGGTTGAGGAATTTGATGAAAGTACTGAAGAATCAGAGGAGCCTTCCATCGTTGAAAAAAAATCTGTGAGATCTAGACTAAAGACTATGTAAATGTACAATACTAACTCGTTTTGATTCCACTTGAATTTTAGAAAAAGGTAATTGCTAATAACTGGAATGGAGGAAAAAGAGGTCCGATGATTGTGGAAATAGTCCCAACTCTACCAAAATATCAAAAGAACTTGAAATCATCTTTGATACACAGTCTAAGTTATTCATAATTGAAAAATTAAAGTAAAGCTTTACTCTTAGTCAAACAATATTTAAGTTCTAAAAGTTTGTACATTTTAAAATTATAACATGCAAAAAACGCATTTTCTCTATGATACTGACATGATTGTGCTTTGTGCAAATAACGAAAATAATCATTCAAACCAAATAATTGTAATGTAAATTATTAGATCACTTTTCAACTCCTTCAACTCCAGCTTGAGTCATGAGATCAGTAATGTTCTTTTCTAAATCATCTATCCTGTTTCCCATCTCATCTAGTACATATTATTAAGGAATTCAATACAGCAATATAATAAAAAAAAAAAAGTATTATTATAAATTGGTGAGCATTTGTAAATAAAATTTTATAAATAGATACCAAATTGTGAAACTTTTCTAAATTGAGGTTATGTCAAAGTAAAGAAAAAAAAAAAAATTCTCACAAAATACTTATTAAAAAGGATATTTCGATTGATGATTTGATCAGACATGGTCTGAAATTTGTCCTGCATATTTTGTAACAGAGTTTGTACCTGGATAAAATAAAGTACAGTAATTAACGACATCACAGTTCAATTGCAATAACAGTAAAGAAAAACTTTGATCGTAAGATGGCCAAATTACATTTAAAAAAAACGAGTCAAGCACTCTAGTGAAATTTCGTAAACTTACGTATTGCGTCAACTCCTGTACACTTTTTGGATCAACATTGCTGGTCATCGAATCGGGTTGAACATCAGCCATTATACTGTCAACAGACAGAAAAAAGCTGATAATCAATGAGGTACTCGCTTAGGTTGTTTTGCACAAAATCGGTATTTAAAAAAATCTTACCCTACAAGAGTTAAACAAAATCAACGCAAAAACTGTATGGAGCTGCTGCTGTCAAGCAACAATCGCGGCGTCTTCAACTTGCTTAGTACTTAGATTGTAGTTAGATTTACACAGGTTATTGGGGTGGATGTATATATATGTATTAATTTTTTTTTTTTTTTCCACAACAAAACTACGTACCCTAACCCTACAAGCCCACTGCAAGTGCAAATGCAAAGCGAGTGTGTTCAATATAAGTACTTGTCCAAACTGAAGCAATAGCCGATGCTTTGATATATATGGGGAACTCCGATTTGTGTTTTCGTTAGTATCAATGGATATGGATGCCAGAATGGTCGCTGCTGCCGCTAAATTCATCGATCTAACAAACTAAAGGTTAAGTATGCGAAGTATGTAACACTTCAACGGGCGGAGCATTGCCGGGCCTCTATCAACGATTACAACGAATATATAAATATTATATAGCCAGGTAGTTCTGCTTACTTAAACTATTGTTGTCTGTTTTAATATATTTTGAAAATATGCAAAAAATGACTTTTTCCTCTGGGTTATTGTATATTTTTACAATTGTTTGTGACAACGTCATAATGAATTTGGTAAACATGTATAACTATAAACGATTTCTGTACAGACAAAAAAACTAAAAGGAAAACTAATTTTCAAAGTTTTTTTACAAATGGTGTGAGTCACCTGGGTGGTGAGACTTGCTTCAAATTCAAAGACGCAACTATGCACATTAGTCTCTAAACAATTTTGATAAATTAGACGAAACACTTGATGATGATGTCTAATTTTCATATTTCCTTGGGTTTAATGTGTATTTACTTGAAAATAAGTTATATTATGTATAAAATAAGTAATAAGTGTATTTATATTTAAAAAATGTTTCTAAATTTTTCAGTCTTTATGTAAGGTGAAAAAAAATTATGAACAGGACTTTGTCGAGAAACCAGTAATAAGGACGTGTACTTGTACAAAACTAAATACAGATTGACATATTTTGAAAATGTTTAAAATTCTTGTCAAACCATTAAACTATACTCGATTTTATTACACTAGAGATATTGAAAGTTGAAAGAAAAAAATCTTTATACAGGAAAAACGACGAGATTGTTTATAATTGTACTTTATTCCTCGTTATTCGAGATTAATATAATTATACTGCGGGAGCCAAGAGGGTTCCCGTGGTTTTTTAAATGAAAATTGTCCAACCATGATTTTTTAAAATGCATTTTTGCCTTTTGTACAAGTTACACGCAACTCATTAAACATTTTGATTTTGTCATTACGAATAAATTATAAAATTTCATGAGAGTTGTAGGTGCTACGAAAAATGAACTTGTACATAAATATGGGGTCACGATTGGATTAACATGTGGTAAAGATAACGGTTTTATTTCTTAAATTTTCAGAAAAAATAGTTTATCATCATCATCATCATCATCATCATCATCAAAGAACATGCGCGTATTGCGAAATATAGAGAGTTGCACATTAGTTTCAGCAGTTAGTATTAATTTCTATCTTTTTTTTCTCCTCGGAGGACCTTCGGTCAAGGTGCGCCAGTATATGTGTCTGAAAGATAGCTTCAGAAGCATAATGTAATTTGCAGGTACCGCAATGATAGAGGGTACGTGGTCTAACATTGAGATTGATCGTGTTGCAAGAGTTGCTGGAACTTTGTTCTTCATAACTTCTCATATTCACGTTGGAAAAGATTTTCAATCGATATGGGTCCCAGCACTATATTTCGTTCTTGTTGTCGCTGCTGTTGATTCGTTGAAATGATAAATATAATAACAATAATGAAACAGTGATTTCAGGACATTGGTGATATATATATATATATATTTTTTTTTTCATTAAAGTACAATATCGGAATATCGTGTAAGCTCATTTTCCGTTTTTGTGGCACGTAAAATTGTGCGACAGGAAGTAAAGACGAAACCTCTTATGATTCAAGCGACAAAACACGGCGAATGATGATCCGCAACTTTATTTATTTATCGGTGTAGATACGCGATGGATGAAACTATATGCGAAGAAAATGTGGTTTTCGTCACATGAGTGGCCACTGGCTAATGGCCGCTCGTATGACGAATCCTCCATTTTCTATACTGCCGAGGGCACAACAAATTAAAGCTTAGGAACAATAATTTAACACAACTGAGGCTCTTTGGATGTTTTTTCAGGGAGGTAAGGGTCAAGCTTATCGCGCCCTCATCAAAGCTGTCGTTATGAACCATCATGCCATGTACACGCTCAAATTTTCCACACTTGTTGCAAAAAATACTTGGTAAATTATTTGCGAGTGCACGCGGTGCGTGATATGGTGCGCGCTATACTTGAGAAATTCCCCAAACCGAAAACGAAAGTTTCTTTTTTTTTTTTTTTTTTTTTTTTTTTTTTTTTTTTTTTTTTTTTTTTTTTTTTTTTT